ACATAAACTTCATCAGCTTCAAACAAGATCTACACCTTTACACTCAACTTCATGGGACCCAAGTTTTACTCATTTGAACCTGGTGACATTCAGGCCTGGTTCTTATTAAAGAGGTATATATTTAACTAGAAGACCCAGAGAGCTAATCGGTTAATGGTGAAGTTTTTCTCTTTGATTTAATTTGAAAAAACAGTATGAAACACGTCACAGAAAATGTTGCTGACGAAAAAAACAATCACAGCCGCAGCGTGTTGAATCGAAGCCTTGCTTTATCTTTATAGAGCTGCACATCAGGTTACACCGTAAATGACAAAATACCTATGGACTAGTTTTAACACAGAATCAGCTTAAATGCTAACCCGGTGTGGGACTGATCAGCTACATGTGTGGAAAGTGTGGAAGTGTGGCACCATCAGGTGATGTGGGCTGGCACTGAGATCAGCTGATCTGCTGGGACTGTGTTCAGTTTTAATTTTTAAAGACTCGCTCATTTCCTTTAAGGGATGGTTCCATTTTCAGTCTTTTGGGCACAGTTTTCACTGGTGGATTAATCCACAGTGGAATAAAGTTTGTTTACAAAACTTTGACTCAGTGGAAAGAGAGAGTGTTCAAAAAGATCTCCACCATGTTTTTTGACCACCATCGGTGGTTGTTCATCTGCATGTTTATGCTTTTAATTTAATTCTGTACCTTTACTTTAGATTTTTCATGTTGTAATCCAAACAGTGTTAAACAGCTGCAAACTAAACTTTTCTTCATGTTGTCTGTGAAGGTTCTCAGTCATCCAGGTCATCGTAGTCTAAGGAGCTTGGAAAGAAACGTGTCTGGACTTCTTTAAGTTGCTTGAAGACCTCTCATCCGAGAAGCTTCTTCAGTTCTAAGGGTCAAATGGTGGAAAGTCCCAGATTCAAATCCCGTGGGAGTGTCCCCCCAGAGAGGGACAACAGGACCCCCCTTCTTCATGTTGGAGCTTGATGGTGATTTGATTCCTGCTAGTCTTTTCCCTGTAAAGGTTTTTAATAGTGACTATCAGAGCCAGCACTACCATTTAGGACGGTAGAAATTTTTTTTTAATTCCACCTGAGCTAATTATCTTGGTATTGGCTCTGCCTCTTAGATCTAGTCGAATAGGGAAAATATGTTTCAACATAAAATGTAAATATGTGGTACAACTGGTCCGTGGTGCAACTTTTGCTTGTGCTGTTGTTGGTCTGTCAGCCAGCTATGGAGAATTCTAGACTACAAAGAGCTGAAGTGATACTGAAGGTTTAAAACAATGAATAGTATCCACTGCAGCCGCTGTCTGTACCCTTTATGCTGCATTTTTTTCAAATCTTTGATGATTTTCTTGTGCCTCTTTTTGTAAACTCAACTGTCTCTTTGTCTCTTCTGGTTCTGGCCCACTTGTCAACTAATCAGCATTTGACTGATGCACAGTGTCATCAATGTCAACTGGACGTGAACACGACTGTGGTGGAGGGAAAGTCATGTCATTTACTCAGTCCCCAGAGGATGAACTGTATCATTGTCTGTCCAAACTTCAACTGACCTTGAGAAGCAGTTGGCGTTGCTCAACACTGAGTCCAAGGCCACCAGAGACCCACCACAAACGTGACTTCCATTCTTCTGTAGGCTCGCCATCCACGGCCACAAACCAGCCACCACTGAGGGTCCCCCCATGTTGCGAGAATTCCTTGGAGCTTGTCCACAGACCAGTGCTGAAAAAATAAACAGAGGAAGACACAAATAAATTTTATAAACTTGGACCGCATGAACCCATCAGCTTGAGGTCAGGTAGGTTAGACCAAACCATTTTTTAATAAAGTGTTTTCATGATGGACACTCACAGTCGGGAGTGGTCGAAGGTCGTGTGGTTGTTGTAATGATGGCGGCTCTGTTGGTGGTTGTTGCAGGGACTGTGGTTGTTGTGGTGGGGATTGTGGTTGTAGGTGTGGTGGTGGTGGTTGAAGGGGTGGTGGTTGGCACTGGTGTCAGTCCTGTGCAGGAGACACTGAAGTCACTGTTGGTCCCAGTGGACGTGAACGTCATGAAGCCCGGCTGGTTG